CCCTAAAAAAAGAAAACCTAGAAGGAAATATAGGGACATGTGGCCATTACCACATTGTGGGAAAGTTATTAAAAATTATTTTATCTTTTATACTCCTCCATGTTATCTCATGTTGTTCATAGTGACCAAAAACTGAATCAATCTAGGAAAGGTAATTTTTTTTCCTCAAAGAACACTTCCCTATAAAACTATGTTACAATTCTCAGAGCTGAGCATTAGGCACTGTGTTAAACTAATTATGTGTAATATTTCATTGAATCTTCCTCTAAAACAGCAATCCTATAAGTGAAGGAGAAAGCATGGTTAGCTTCATAGCTGTACTGTGTATACAGATGGAGTTTCTAAGAGCTGAGGGTGCCAGTGACTTTCCCTAGGACACGAAATAGGAGAGGAAGCCCGGCTGGAGCCCAGATGACCTCAGTTCGGCACTCACCCTCTCAAGACTCTGCACCTCCATGTATGTTCCCAGCCCCCAGCTGAGACTTAATGTTTGGGTTCCTCTACATTTCATCCAAGTGTCCTGGCGTCCTGGAGATCTGACTTCCGCAGGCAGGGACAGACCCCTCACAGCGCTTTCATTTCAGGTCCCTGCATGTCCTTGTACACATTTTTATTCTTCAAAAACTGCAGCAGGAAGATGACCCCCGGAGACTAAAGGCAGACATGTGGAATAACTCAGTAGGGCGTGTTGGGCAGACAAATGGATTCGTGTTGAAGGTGAAATCTGACAACCGCAGAGTTGTGGCGAAAGACACTGGTGAAATTTCTCTAATTTTCCCCCGTTTTCTTTTTCTTTCTACAAGACGTGATTGACATCCCAGGCCACATCTTCACTCGAGGAATGATCGTAGCTGTTTTGATCTCAGTGGTCATCGTGTGCCTAGTCACTGTGGGTGTCATTTATAGAGTTGACTTGGTTCTATTTTATAGACATTTCACGGGAAGAGATGAAACCTTAACAGGTAACAAATGGCGTGACACTGGGATTTCTTATTTTATGGTTTCATTAAGAAGCCAAGTAAAGGAACCTCATTTTGATTATATTGCTGACTTAATGGGCAGTAGAAATCTTCCAGGAGATAAATTGATGTGAATGTATCAGCCATTATGAATGTTGTCTGTGCTACTTTTTCTTGTGTTCACTTATATGTTGCCAAAAATTATTCTTTAATTGTTTCATGCATGTATTCATGTCCTCCCGAATGCCCTTGTGAGATGCTTGAGCCCAGGGACTGTGTGTCTGAATGTCACTGCTCACACGCCATCTGGGCGCCTTAGACAGCCTGTGCCCTCCATCAAGATCATTTAAATTGACTTGAGTTGTTCGTCAGTTTAACCTGCAAAGGAGGATGCATGATGTACTTGCAAGAATCCTGAACTACATGCCAAACAACCTGCGCTCTAGCCCCCAAATCTGCCACTTTTTATCTACTGCTACTTATTTCTATCTGGTAACTCTATGTCTCAGTTTCCCTACTTTTAAAGGTGACTAGAAATCCTCAAGATTCAAAATAGTCACCAAATTAAAATAAAATCAACCTAACCCATTGCTCGTGTGTGTGTAGGACATACGTAGTTCAAAACATCAAAAGCATTAGAATTTGCACACGTGCACTTGTCCCATGCCCGTGTTTCCCACCTCATCCCCCACTGACAGTGTATCTAAACAAAGAAGAACTGAGGATCTTATTTCACTCCTGTTTTTGAAAGGCAAATCTTAAACATGTTATGCACCCTGTTGAGAATCTTGCTTTACTGTACCATGGACACTCTTCCATATTAGTTTATTAAATCTCTCATTTTTTAGGGTTGCACAGTGTTTGATTTCTGTGGCTTTACCACTGTTTATTTAGTCACTGTTTAAAGGACACTTGGGTTGCTTTCAACCTTTTCTTATTGCAGGAACGATGTGATGGAGAGCTTTTGTACAGCTGTATTTCACAGGTGTGCAGTGTAACTAAGGGAAGAATTCCCTAAAGTGGGATTACTAGACATGCAGAGATGAATACAATTGTTATTTTGACAGACATTACCAATTTGTCCACTTGTATACTCCCTACCACCTTCAAAGCGTAGAAGTACATTTTTTTCTCATAGTCTTTCCCACAACCTTTGGGTATTTACCAGTCTGATCGGTATAATCTGAGCAGTGTCACAGTGTCACCTTCATTTGCACTTTGCTTACTGTGCAAGAGTAGGAGCAACTTCTCATGTGTTTAAGACTCATTTGTATTTCCTTTCTCAAAGTGCCTGTTCATGTCCTTTGCCCATTTTTCTATTGGATTATTGCCTTTTTTTTTTTTTTTTTTTGCTTGTTCATTTCTAGGAGCTATTTACATTTTAGGGAGGTTAGCCCATTGTCTCTAATATGAAAGGCAAATATTATCTCCAGGTCACTGATAGTGGTGAGCTTTTGACTTTGCTAATAATGGTGTGCTATGTGGAAGACTATGCAACATGCAGGCATACCTTAGAGATGCTGCCGGTTCAGTGTCACCACAATAAAGCTAATATCACAATACAGTTAGTAACACTAATTTTTTGTTTTCCCAATGCCTATTAAGTGTGCAGTAGCATTATGTCTTAAAAAATGTATATACCTTAATTAAAAATACTTTATTGCTAAAAAGTGCTAAACAGCATCTGAGCCTTCAGCAAGTCACAGTCTTTTGGTTGGGTCTCTTTTTGAGGGTCTTGTCTCAATGTTGATGGATGCTGAGTGATCAGGGTGGTGGATGCTGAAGGTTGGGGCTGCTGTGGTAATTTTTATAAATAAGACAAGAGTGAAGTTTGCTGCATCAATTGACTCTTTCTTTCATGCACAATTGCTCAGTGCTGTTTGACAGCATTTTACCCACAGTAGAGCTTCCTCCAAAATTGCAGCCAATCCTCTTGAACTCTGCTGCTGCCCTCTCAGCTATGTTTATGGAATATTCTAGGTCTTTTGTTATCCTGTCAGCAGTCCTCACAGCATCTTCACCAGGACTAGATTCCATCTCAAGAAAACATTCAGTTTGCTCATCCATTGAAAAGCTTCATCGTGCAATTGGTCACATCTTCAGGGTCCACTTCTAATTCCAGTTCTCTTGCGGTTTCTGTCACGACTGTAGTGACTTCCTCCAAGAAGTCTTGAACGCTCATAGTCATTCATGAGCGTTGGAGTCAACTTCTTCCAAACTTCAGTTAATGCTGATGTTTTGACCTCTTTGCGTGAATCACAAGTGCTCTTAATGGGATCTGCAATGGTGACTCCTTCCCAGAAGGTTTTCAATAGACTTTGCCCAGATCCACGTGTATATCACAGTATAAACTTGACTGAATCAGCTTCTCAGTTTATTCCAATTAGTTACATCTTGATTATAAGAAAATGTACCGTTTTTAGAAGTGTACTTACTTATTTCTTAAATCTTGGCACCCATTTTAATCACTGACATAGTGAGTATGCTAATGGAATCACCAGCACTTACTTTTAATAATAAATAGCCATATTTCTCAATAACCTAAGAATTATCCAGGGAACCCACTTCTTGATTAAACTCAGAACTGGCTCTGTTTTTGGCCATTTTTTCTTACATTTGTTATGCACATTAATTCTGTAACGTTTACTGAAATGTTTGCTCTTTCGTATGCATTCAGTTTTACAGAGCAATTGCTTTAAACCAATGTAGGTTCTGAGTCGGACCCTGAGCCAGGATGCTCTGGGTGGGACTGAAGCAGCTTTTCCTGGGAACAGAAAGGGTTGTTTTGAGAGCCTGGGTGCTGTTGAAGATACCGGGTTGGGCTGTTGAACATAATGGTGTGACACCACAAAGAACACGGACTGAGAACGGTTTCATTTCCTATTCAGTGAATACAGGATCCAATAATGTTTAATCTCCAACTCAGTAGCAAATTCATTAATCCCAATAACACACCCGAGCATAAATCTAACTCTTCTACCATCTCATCAGTTGTCATGGGATGAGGATAAACTGTTTCCCCACCACTTCCCCTCCTCCCTCTGCCAACCCCAGTCAGCGTCTTGTCCGTCAAGATCACTCCTTATTCCCTGATCAAGTCATTTTGTTAGCTTTGTTGTTTTGTTGACACTGTCTTGCATCTGCTAATGGGTTGTTTGTAAACTTTTTCAGGTTTTTGCATTTGTCTGCTCTGTCTTCTCAAGGAGATTAGATGAAGGTAGAAGACAGAAATGTCTATAATTTTTCGGTTACCCAGTTAGTAGAATGATCTTTGCTATTTAGGTAACACAGTCCCTTGAAGGTGTCCCTGTAGCCATTGAGTGCTGCTTCCTTATCAGGAATTAAATAGGAGTAGAAGTTATCATCAGTGAAAGCCTTTTAATAGACCAGAAGTTTTCCTCCTGACGTCTAGTATCATGTCATATTTTTAAACATCACAGCACGTGTTCCCGTAGCATGTTGTTGCAATCACTCCCATCATTCCTTCCCACTCTCCAGTGTAAACACTCAGCTTAGCTTCCATCCTCACTTTCCAGGGGATGGTTGTGGAGGTAACACTGGGATGGTGATAGAATTAAGTGATATGGATAGAATAAGCCAAGGTGAGATTTGCTTTCCAATACTGGACTGCGGGAATATTTGGGCTCCTTGGCCTTTCACCATCTTTAAATTTCTTGAGTCCCGTGGCCTGTATCTTGCATTTCTCTTTGTCCCTTTCTGGTGTCAAGCAGTGGGAGTCTTAATGTACATGCTTAAAAAATTTTTGCTAATTGGTTGCTTGATAGCATACAAGGTTCAAGGGTACTGTTTTTGTTGTTGATCTGTAATAATAATTCGATTTATTCTTTGTTTCTGACAACTTAAAAAGTCAGAGGTAAAGAATAATGCATAAAAAAAATCATGGAACCAATGAATGTTTGAAGATCTTAAGAATTACTTAGTTTAAAATTCTCGTTTTATTTTTTAATTTGTTTTTTATCAAAATATTTTATTCTTTTGTTTTCATTGAGGCATAATCAATATGCAAAGAATTATGTATATTTGATGTGTACAGTTTGATGAGTTTGGACTTGAGGAGGGTATGTTTGCCTTTTCTTTTTCAGTGATTCCTTTCCCATTTTTCATGACTTCCACTGAAATCTGTACTTAAATAGACCTTGATTGACACACTCATTAAAAGAGTCAACCTTATCTCCTAGATGGGAAGACATACGACGCTTTTGTGTCTTACCTAAAGGAATGCCGGCCCGAGAACGGAGAGGAGCACGCCTTTGCTGTGGAGATTTTGCCCAGGGTGTTGGAGAAACATTTTGGGTATAAGTTATGCATATTTGAAAGGGATGTGATGCCTGGAGGAGGTAAGAAAGGGAATAGCAGATAGAAGATGAGTGCGGGTCACTTTCTTTTTAAAAGGTGAACTGCTTAGCCTTACAAAAGGCTATGCTGTGTGCTTAAAAAACAAACCAATGAAGTTGTCTTCTAAACAAGAAATAACCACCTAAATCAATATGGTCAATTGTGAGAAAATGGGCGAACTACACTGCCTCCAATAACGGCCTCTCGAGGTCCTGGCCTGGGCCCTGGTCTCTTCACTTGACTTCAGATTTCTCTGAATCTCTGGGGAAAGGAAGCAAGCATTCCATTTTCAGAACCAGATTCAGAATGATCATTATCATGAGGCATTTCTCTAGAAGTACGCCACAATACGTAAGACTACCTTTTACGATAATATTTTGTACAGCAGAACCAGTTCCTGATTTAATACATGATCCTTTGGACTATACATACAGGTTAATTCTTACCAGAAAATGCTGCTTCTTTATTGTGTTGACATCGGTGAGAAAATTGAAGTAGCAGTTAGTAGGGGCATTGGCAAATATGAATAACAGGAGATTGGTGATTTGTACCATATTTTAGTTGTGAAATTCAATTTTTAAAATTAATATCTGAATACAGATGGCCATAACACATATACAGAAGTGTATTACAGTTAAAAATCAAAGAAATTTAGTAACATCTACATGGTTTCTCTGAAGTCTTCCAGAGATTTGGAATCTGGTGTCAAATTATTTTGGAGACTGGTTTGTATTAAATGACTCCATTGTTACCATCATTCATTCATTCGGCCAGTGTTTACTGAGCACCCTCCTTGTGCCAAACTCTCAGCTGGCCGTTGAGGATGAAGCAGTGAATAAGAAACAGTTGTGTTTCTTCCCTCCTAGTTTACAAATTAGGAAGGGAACATGTTACAAATTAGAGAGAGAAAATAGCCTACTTTTTAATAATCTTAAATGACTTTTCAAAAAGAGCAATTTGCCGAATTATCAGATGCTTCCAACCCTGCGATATTTTTGTGTGTCACTTCTTGCTGTCTAAGGAGACGTTGTCACTTAGAAAGCATTTCTGCTTGGCTTTACATCAATTTTTATTATATTTCCATTATTTTCTAGGAGTCACTTTGAAAATAAATTTCTTCTTAGTTCTTAAATAAAAATAATGTTTGCATAGTCAATTGTAGTTAGTTTTGGTTAAAAACTCTATTTGAGAAGGGCTAGAGGTGGTCAGTCTATCTCCCATGGGTTGGGTCTGGCTGGCCGCCCTTATTAAAACAGCCCCACACTTAGGTCCCCGTGTTGTCTGTGGCTGTTTTTGAGCTACAACAGCAGAGTTGAGTTTTTGTGACAGAGACGATAGGACCTGCAAGGCTAAAATATTTGCCATCTTCTCCTTTACAAAAAATGTTTATCAACCCATGGTCTAGAATAATGGCAGGATTTAAAAAAAAAACCTTTAAATTCAAATTTCAGCATGTTCCTCCAGTGTGTATAGAGGCAAGATCGTGTAGTGATTAGGAAGAAACACTCCAGAACTAGACCACTTGGGTTCAGATTCTGGTTCTGCCATTCACTAGCTGTGTGACTTTGAGCAAGTTACTTAACAACTCTGTGCTTTGGTGTCCTCATCTGTAAAATGAGGGTGATAACAATGCTTTCTTCATAGGGTCATTATGATGATTAAATGAGTTAACATACATAAAATATTGAGAAGAAAGTGGGGCACAGAGTGTTACTGTTGTGTAGATAATTGCTTCTTTTAATAGGCATATAAAATTAAGAATTACAAACTTATGGTTACCAGTGGGGGAAGGGATAATGGGGAGTTCAAGATTTGCAGATACTAACTACTATATATAAAATAGATACACAGCAAGTTTCTACTGGATAGCACAGGGAACTATATTCAATATCTTGTAGTAGCCTATAATGAAAAAGAATATGAAAACAAATATATGTATGTATGTGCATGGCTGAACTATTATGCTGTACACCAGAAATCCAGAAATTGACACAACACTGTAAACTGACTATACTTCAATTTAAAAAAAGAATTAGTGATTTGTCTTAAAGAAAAACTTGCTAGTGAAGTTGAGTTAACTAATACAAAGTAAGACTGTGCGAAATGACTTTTGTCTCATGCCCACCTTTCCAGTTCTCTTCAGTTAACCTGTCAGCGTCTTGCATTTCAGCTGCTGTTGAAGAAATCCACTCCTTAATAGAGAAGAGCCGCAGGCTGATCATAGTCCTGAGTAAAAGCTATATGTCCAACGGAGTCAGATATGAACTTGAAAGTGGACTCCATGCAGCACTGGTGGAAAGGAGAATTAAAATCATCTTAATTGAATTTACACCTGTCAGTGACTTTGCATTCTTGCCTCAATCCCTAAAGCTTTTGAAATCTCACAGAGTTCTGAAGTGGAAGGCTGACAAATCTGAGTCGTATAACTCACGGTTCTGGAAGAATCTTCTTTATCTGATGCCTGCAAAGACAGTCAAGCCGTGTAGAGATGAGTCAGAAGTCTTGCCTGTGTTTTCACAGTCCTGATCTTCAGAAAAGCGAAGTGTCAGAAAGAAGCCTGGACCCCCTGGGCACTGAGTGTGTGAGACTGTTTACAACAAGGGGCATTATTCAAATATTAAACTCTGTTCTGTGAACGTCCTACTGACAGTTTGAAGATGAAACTTGTCATCAGGTTGTCAGGCTAAGACTAAATAAACATTGTGCTGTGGTCAAGGGCTCCCAGAAGACCCTGGATTCATGGAAATGGATCTCCTGTCTCTCTGTCTTCTGTAGTGAGGTGCATGGGCTCTACTCAGTCCCATGTTGAGCAACTGTGAGGCTGGACACAGAGCAAAATGCTTTATGCTTTACAATAAGGGCATATCTTTAGGAGTTTTTAATACTAATAAGTGAACTAAAGGATTTTAAGTTCACGAAGTAGCGTTTTTTGTGAGCCAGGAGGTGACCCAAAAACTGGGATGGTGTCTTCACCCTCCCACGACGGCCACTACCTCTCAGCACCGCGGACAGTGCCCGGGATGTGGTTGAGAGCCGGCAGGGCCGCGTGCAGAGCGGGACTGAGGTGTGAGCTGCTGGAACAGAGCCCCCGCCCCAGGATGTGTTTACCGTCTCCTGGCCGCAGCTGCAGGTCCACGATTCTCGGAACCCCACTGCGGCACCGCCCAGGGCTTGCTCAGTTGGGCCTAGGTGTGGGAACTTCTTAAAAGGAACTCAACTTTTTATCTTCCACGCGAGACACAAATTGTAATTCAGATAATTTTCTAGGTCTTTCAGAAATGGTCTAAAACATTTGTTGATTTTACACCAGTGTTTATATACAGGATGGGTGCAGATCAGCTTAGACATTGAGCAGAAAACAATGATGGTTACTTGCTAGATTTTTAGAAGATTACAGACGTAAAAGTCCCTTTGGGTGGAGGCAGTGCGGTGAAGAGGATGAACTGTGTGACCAAGAGGCTTGAGCACGAATCCCAGGTTTACAACTTGCTTCTGTGACCTCTGGACGCTCTTTTAACTGATCTGTGCCTCAGTTTCCTCATCTGTAAAATTAGACTTTATGAGAGTTGTACGGGGGCTCAACGAATAAATACAAATG